ATAAGAAAAATAGAAAAGTAGGCATTGTGATAGTACTTCAGAGAAGAAGACATATATAGGGAAGCAGTGAAAATGAGTGAACTACAGCCACATACAACATTATGGGTGAAACTTCAGTGTCAGAACATTGAATGAATAAAGCCAAAGATTAAAAATAGTATGATATTCTTTAGTCAAAAATCAAATAAAATTTAAGAGAATGATAAACACAAAATTTGGGAGGGAGATTACTGGACACTTAAAGAGAGTCAAGGAGGGTGGGGTGCCTGGTGCCTCAGTTAAGCATTTGCCTTTGGCTCAGGGTCGTGGGACTCAGCCCCACATCTGGCTCCCCCCCACCCCCGCTTGTGCTCTCTCTCTCTCTCTCAAAAAATAAATAAAATCTTAAAAAAAAAAAGTCAAGGGAATTGGATATGAAAGGAGCGCATATGTAGATGTATTATTGGTGTATGGTTCTTAGGTAGGAAAATTAATGCATGTGTATTTGTCACAAAATTTAAGAATAAATCAATTTAACAAGAAAGCCGTATCAGGGACTAATGATAATTGAGTGTCATGAACAAAAGATTATAATTAATCTGCATCCAAGGTTCAAGATAAATAACTTATTTATGCAAATGAACACATTTGTACATATTGTATGGGGATACAAATCAAGGTGATGAGGGGTGATCTGGGAATCTTGTATTTCATATGGTGACTGATATGAACAGGGATTCATCCAAATTTTCCCAAAGTAGATTGTTATGGTAACATGGTGTAGAGATCTGGCCAGGAACATTTGGAGTTCCCACATTCATGCACCAGTGAACATGTGAAGAGCTTTGCCCCTGGTTGTCTTGCTCTTAGCCAGAGGAAGAGTGTGGTGCCTAAAACATGCAGAGTTGGAACTTCGTGAACCACTTTTTTTTTTTCCCTTTTTTGGAGGGAAGAGTATAGTGAAGTAACATTGTAGGGATAACATTAGGAACATCAGAAAAAGATTTGAAAAGGAGAAAAAGAAAATCAGGACTTCTTAGATAATAGCTTTGGTACATGGGCTTTGGATGAGTTCTGAGCTATCATTGGAAACACCTTATTTTAACATCTAATTAATTCTTTTGTCCATACTCTTCCTGTAAATAGTCTTCCTGAAACAAGTCTCTCTGCTATCCCACACCAGACTGAATCCTTTTAATCTGGTTATTGATTATTGTGAAAATTCCAAAATGTAAGTTATTTTTATACATAGTATTTTTTTTAAGATTTTATTTATTTGAGAAAGAGAGCACAAGAGAGAGCATGAGTAGGGGGCAGGGGCTGAGGGAGAGGGAGAAGCAGACTCCCCACCGAGCAGGGAGCCCATCGCAGGGCTCGATCCCAGAACCTCATGACCTGAGCCAAAGGCAGACACTTAACCAACTGAGCCACCCAGGTGTCTCTTTTTATACATATTAGACCATGTAGTTCTTTACTACAGTTTTGTGTTTCAGATGTGGCAAAATCAGTTGTGTTTCTCCTGATATTGTACCAAAGTTTTTGAACAATTAAGAAAAAAAGAATAGGTTTATTGTTACCCCTGCTATGTCACATCACTGTATTTTCCATATCCAAATACTCTGTTAGGTGGGAGAGAAAGGGATTGTTGGACTTACAGGTAGCAGCAGAGATTTGTACCTGATACTGAAAATGCTAGTAAGTATGTTGAAGCTGGGCCAAGCAAAAGATTATGCAACTGCTGTTTTATTTTTTTTTTAATTTTTTATTGTTATGTTAATCACCATACGCAACTGCTGTTTTAGACCATGGACTACCTAAAATATTAAAACAGAAGACTCCTTAAAATCTTTTGTTTTAAAGAGGGAGGAATACTGGTCAGACATTTTTCTGATAAAGATTATCTGAAAATAATCTGCATCTTGGAGCCCATGAAAAAATAAATTCCAACATGAATCCCAGTTGTACTACTTGTAATACTATATATAAAGAGTAGTGGATTTGGCATCAGAATATTCTTATCTCCAGAACCAGACTGAGACACTGAAAAACAGGGACCTGTGCCTTTGTGGGTAGCTGACTGAGAGAGTATTAGTATGTTCTGCTTCTTGCTAATCCTGTGATCAATTTTGAATCTCTGTCTCATCTCTAAATTAATCTTCAGATTTTCTGTTAACCTCATAGAATTAGATGAGCATTTTATAGGTGGGTGTATTTTGTGTGTTAAAAAAAATAACATGACATAAAGTGAAGTTTGTTACATCATAATGAAATAGTAACTTTATATGTTTAAAGAAAAAAATACTTTTTCCAGTGTCTTTGAAATACTTGAAAACATTTTCTGAATTTTTTAATTAATATTTTTTAAATATCCTTTTTTAATTCAAGTATAATTAACATACAGTGTTATATTAGTTTCAGATGTACAATACAGTGATTCAACAATTCTGTACATTTCTCAGTGCTCATCAAGATAAGTGTTCTCTTAATTCCCTCTATTTCATCCATTCCTCCCCATCTCCCCTAGCAACCACCAGTTTGTTCTCTATATTTAAGAGTCTGGTGTTGTTTTTTAGGGTTTCTGTTGGTTTGTTTTGGTCTCTTTTTTTCTTTGTTCATTTGTTTCTTAAATTCCACACATGAGTGAAATCATATGATACTTGTCTTTCTCTTATTTGTCTTATTTGACTTACTTCACTTAGCATTATATACTCTAGGTCCATCTGTGCTGTTGCAGATGTCCAGATCTCATTCTTTTTTATGACTGAGTAATATGCCATTGTACATCTGTATATATCACATCTTTACCCCTTCATCTGTCAAGGAACACTTGGGTTGCTTCCATACTCAGCTACTGTAAATAATGCTGCAATAAACATGTTTAAGGAGTGCATATATCTTTTCAAATTAGTTTTTTCATTTTCATTGGTTAAATGCCCAGTAGTGGAATTACTGGATCATATAGTAATTCGATTTTTAATTTTTTGAGGAACTTTCATACCGTGTTCCACTGTGGCTGCACCAGTTTGCATTCCCACCAACAGTGCATGGGAGGACTCCTTTTTCTCCACATCCTTGCCAACACAAAATACCAATAACATTTTTACCAGAACCAGAACAAATAATCCAAAAATTTGTAGGGAACCATAAAAGACCCCAAATAGTCAAACCATTCTTAAAAAAGAACAACAAAGCTGGAAGGCATCACAATCCCAGATTTCAAGTTATACTACAAAGCTGTAGTAATCAAAACATATGTTACTGGCACAAAAATAGGCACATAGATCAATGAAACAGAATAGGGTCCAGAAATAAACCTATGCTTGTATAGTCAATTAATCTAAGACAGAGGAGGCAAGAATATACGATGGGAAAAAAACAGTCTCTTCAACAAATGGTGTTGGGAAAACCAGACAGCTACCTGTAAAAGAATGAAATTGTACCGCTTTCTTACACCATACACAAAAATAAACTCAAAATGGATTAAATGTGAGACCTGAAACCATAAAATTCCTAGAAGAAAATATAGGCAGTAATTTCTTTTGCATCAGCTGTAGGACCATTTTTCTAGGTATGTCTCCTTGGCAAGGGAAACAAAATTAAACTTTTTGGACTATACCAAAATAAAAGGTTTCTGTACAGCAAAGGAAACCATCAACAAAATAAAAAGCCTATTGAATGGAAGAATATATTTATAAATGATATATCTGAGAAGGGGTTAATATCCAAAATATATAAAGAACTTACACAACTCAACACCAAAAAAAATCCAGTTTAAAAATGGGCAGAGGACCTGAACAGACCTTTTTCCAAAGAAGACCTGCAGATGGCCAACATGAAAAGTTGCTCAACATCACTAATCACTGGGGAGATGCACATCAAAACCACAATGAAGTATCACTCACACCTGTCAGAATGGCTGAAATCAATAACGCAAGAAATAACACATAGTTAATACTATTTTGGGTAATTGACCTTACTTTTCTTTTATTCCCCTTGATAGTCTTCATTTTCCTCAAAGGACACTCACTGCAAATCTACCCCTTAAGCTTCCTAAAACAATTTCAGTTGATTGTTCAACTGTATGTGATATAGCACTGATGAACAGGATCAAAGAAAAAATGTCTTGTTAAAAATCCAAAAATGTGAATCACAGTTTTATGGTTATTGTTAGGACTAGCCAAGAAGAATTGTTACTGAAACCACAAAATTCAGTATTTATCTGTTAATGATTATGCAAGAATGATCTTTATCTTTGAGGAGGCAGGGGACAGTGTATTAAAATATTTGGACATTTGAGCTGGATATGAATATGTGATTATTTTAAGTTAGGAAAATGATCAACAAAAATTGTTCAACTATTTAAAATAGTGGAGATGAGGGACACCTGGGTGGCTCAGTTGGTTAAGCGTCTGCTTCGGCTCAGGTCATGATCCTAGGGTCCTGGGATCGTATCGAGTCTCGCATTGGGCTCCTTGCTCAGCGGGGAGCCTGCTTCTCCCTCTTTCTGCTGCTCCCCCTGCTTGTGCTCTTTCTCTCTCTGACAAATTAATAAAAAAATCTTTTAAAAAATTTAAAAATAAAATAGTGAAGATGAGAAATAATGTATTATTATTTACTCCTTAGTTAATGATTTTATGTACAACAAAGGATTTTTATAAAATGTGGATTTATTTATTTTTAGAGATAGAGAGCACGAGTGGGAGGGGCAGAGGGATAGGAAGAGAGCATCTCAAGCAGACTCTGCGCTGAGCACAGAGCCCGATGCAGGGCTCGATCATGGTGCTGAGACCATGACCTGAGCCGAAACCAAGAGCTGGTCGCTTAACCGACTGTGCCACCCAGGCACCCCTGGGGTTATTATCTTAATAGACATGTCTGATTTTGTTTTATTTATACACTAGTGAAGTATAATTGAAGAAGGTATAACTTTGAAATTTAAATTTGTAGTAAATATAGCTTCAAGTTTTTGCTATAATAAAATGGAATTTCGGAATAACTTAACTTTTCTGTTTGTTTTTTAGTTACTAAGTCGAAAAGACAAAACTACGTTTGAAAAATTAGAATATGTAATGAGTAAAGAAGATAATTACAAAAGACTAAGAGACTATATAAGTAGCTTAAAGATGACGCCTTGCATTCCCTATTTAGGTGAGTAATGTCACTGTGTGTTCATTATGCCCAGTTGTTTTGTCTTGATTAATCAGTAATTTATATAAAATCCAAGGTATTTTAAAAGTGTGTATATCTTTTAACGAAATTACTGCAAGATTGTTAAGTTTAAAAAATTGAGTAAAGAAATATGTTACCTTGTTACCTGGAATGTATTTTCATATTAAATTAGCCTTCTGCCCTCAAGGTTTTTCATAGACTATCATTTTTTCTTAAAGATGGACAGTGGAAAAATAATATGTTTTGGCTCTTTTAGTAATGCTTTTAAAGAGTGAAATAGTGTGCAATGAAGTTTAATGCCACAAAAACATTTAACATTAACTAAAGAAATTGATCAAAAGATTTATTGAATTTATTTTCAATATCATGAGTTCCTATTATTTTATATAGTTGGCAGATCTCTTAGGGTGAATTATGAAAAGTAGTCTCAATGAATGTTGGTATTGTTTTCCTGGAGGGTGTAAGTTATTTAGCTGTGAAAATTTAGCTAAGTGTTGAGACAGCCAAATGTGTACTTTATATATCATTTCACTAAGACTTTATTTCCTTATTATATATTTTACAGTGTTTATAAATTCCAAGAAGTGTTTAACCAAATACAGTATAAGTTTATTTTCAACAAAAAAGGAATAATGCTTTGTTAGGTGTTTGAATGAAGTTTCAAACTGCCCATTTTAAAATGTGCATGTAAGTTTAAATACAGAAAGTACTCTATATGATATATGCCTAGCATATATTAAGATAAATTGGTTTGATCCTGTGCAGAGAGTAATCAGGTGATAGAGTTGTTTCTTTCTAATAACCCTTTTTGTCCTCTATCTCCATTGTCTTCATGTAATTAATTACTCACACTGAATTTCACAGTAACTATTTTTGTATGTAATTGAAAAATCTGTTATTTGTTTAAATATCTCAGTGTCGTCTTTGAGGTCTTCATGATACCAATGACTAGAAGACAAAGTAGAGACAGAGGCAATTGAAAATACTTTCATTCAGGTGCATTAGAGCATCAGCCTTAGTTTTTCAGAGAAGAGTTGAACTCACTAGAAGTAGAACATCATAGGATTCCAGTGAAAATAGGGAATGTTGTGCATTCTGGTTGAAGGCAGAATATCCCAAGCACAGCATGGATAATGGCCACTACAAAGCAGAATACTGTGTCATTTCTTTGATAAACAGTACAGGCCCATAGTACACATGACTCCATCAGAGAGGCTGTAAGCTAGATGTTAAGAGAGACTTTCTGCATGTGCTCAACTTTCCACCATGGCCCTGGCTGTGCCCATTCTTGAAAATGTTATTGGGGGTGAGGAAGAAGAGAGGATTTTTAAAAAATCATCAATATCTTCATACTCGGTAAGAACATAAACTTTTTATAACTTAAAGAACATTAGACTGAGAATCAGCAACCCTCAATTCCAGAATGGCTCTTCTGTATTAACTTTTCAAGTCATTGAATTGTCTTCTTTGAGCCTTGGTTCTCCTTACCTGGAAATAGCACACAAAGGACCAGAATCATGTTCTTCTTAAGGCTGGATGGAACCATGGTGATTTCTTCTATTCACTTATTTTATAATTTAGAAAATTAAGGTCCAGAAGGTGGAAGGCTTCACTTATAGTCCTAAGACCAAGTTACTGACTGATCTGCATTCTGAAGTCTTTCCAGTTGTCTCTGTTAAATTCTCATTCCAAAACTGACTGATTCTATGATCGTATTTGTTTCTCGTGGAAATGTTTTTCTCAAATTCCACAATTATGTATCTTTTAGAAAAGGAAATAAAGGTTCTTTTTTGTTGAAAATGAGCAAATGAATATAAATCTTGGTGCCAGGATGTCTAGTTCAGGAGTCTGCTTTACATTTTTCCACAGCAGAGACTTCAATACAGGATTTGAAGTTGTCTGTACGTGTGCATACATATTTGCCCTGTCATGTATGTAGAGAAGAAAGAGAGAGAAGGGGAGGAAACCACCAGCATGATTGGAGTTCAGTGGAATCTGGAAAGGTTGTTGTCTATTAGAGAGTATACCTATTTTCTCCCAGCGTTGGTACCTGAAACAAACACAGTGATTATTCCTGTTAGTTAAAGCAAATGAGGCAAATATTGAGGTGCAGAAGTTGATTTGGAGAAAATATTAGAACCATTATCTTTCCTGTATCTTCAGTTTGGTCCCCAATGACTGACTCCTTCTCTCTTCAGTTCACTTTCATTTTATATGTTCTCATGCCCCAGACTCTTCCTTCTCACTATTTACCTAAGCTAATAAAAAAAGTACCCTATTCCTTTCTCCTTTTCTTACTGTTTTCTTTTGCTCAGCGTGCGGTTGTTTCCCTCTTCAGTCATAGAAATGTTCCCAGTAAGGCCACCATTGATTTCCTAGTTGAAATGTTTGATAGGGGGCGCCTGGGTGGCTCAGTCGTTAAGCATCTGCCTTCGGCTCAGGTCACGATCCCAGGGTCCTGGGATTGAGCCCCACATCAGGCTCCCTGCTCAGTGGGAAGCCTGCTTCTCCTCCTCCCTCACTTGTGTTCCCTCTCTCACTGTGTCTCTCTCTGTCAAATAAAGAAAGAAAATCTTAAAAAAAAAAAAAAATGGTAGGTATTTCTCAAGCCTCATATCAATTTTGTGAGGTTTATGGTAGTTACTTGTTTTCTTGAAATTTTCTAGGAGTAGCACCATTCTCTTGGTTTACCTTTACTTTCTGGCTTTTGTTTTATTAAGTCCTGTTTCTCTGCATTTTTTTTATACATCTGTTCTTCTCAAGTCTCAGTCCACTGCTTTTACTTATGCTGTACTCTCTGGAGTGGTCTCATTCAGACTTCTTCCATAATTCACCCAGTTCAATCCCAAATCTAGCCTAGCAGTTCCGGTATATACAGCTGTCTAGCAATTCCCAGTGCCTAGTAACATTTTAGATATCAAATACCAATTGGATGAAATATCTGTAGGTAACTCTAATTCAGCGTGTCTAGAAGTAATTTCGTCATCCTTCCTCCTTCCTCTAAACCTGTCTTAATCTCCTCACTTAGTCTTCCAGTGAGCATGGTGTAGTATTATCTGTACCACTCCACCACACTGAAAACCTGGGTTTTTTACTGGAATTCTCTTCTAATTCTCATGTTGCCCATGGAATGAGATTCATGTTTCTGAGAGTTATCCAAGAATTAGAAACCGAAAGGGGAAAAAATGGCAAAGAACTGAAGTTAAAATAGAGAACATACTCTTCAGCATCTACATAATTTTATATGTTGGTAGTCTTCATGTAATAGTTCATCCCAGTGCCAGTTTGTAAATAAGCATCTTAGATTGTGAGATAATTGTGGAACATTTGGCCATATAAACTTTTGGTAGACCGGAGAAAGGAAAACTTAACGTTTGTTAGATAAGTTATTATGACTCAGTTTGTTTCCATCATGAAAATAATCCTTTTAATGTAGTGAGATTAAATGTATTCCATCTTCCAAAACATACATGCTTTTTCTAAGAAAATGTGAGGCATATTCAATTTATACAACTTTTTGACTGCTTGATTTAATTTCTTACGCAGCTGGTTTGTTTTTTCATTCCTGATCTTTAATACTGAAGTGTTTTAAAGAATGAAGACTAAACAACAGTTTATGTCCTGTTCATATTTGCTTTTTTCATATTTTATTCTAATTTAAAATTGATGAGGACTGTGGTTTTTATATTTAAGTTGTTTTGTTTTCGGAATCCTTTCCCACTCTTAGGAAACTAGTGCAGTTGCCACAAATGTCAACATTTACAAGATGCTGTTGGATAGCACAGAACCTGCCCTGAAGATGTTGGAAAGATGGTATTCGTTATGCATACTGGTAGCTTCTATTTAACTCTCTCTCCTCAGTATACAGAATTTGCATAATGCCACCTTTTATCCCTTATGGTGCAAAGGTTCTTATGGAAAGAGTATATCAACAGAAAGAATCTATGGTGCACAGAGAAAAGGTGAAGGCGGATCATCTGTTTGTTAACATGAGAGATAGAATCCAAACTTAGGGTGTTTTTGCTTCTAAGCATTATGACCAAAACCAGCCATTCTTAGAGAAGCTTTAAAAAGGAGGTGGCAGTTTATATGCTGACAAAACTCTTAGTTTGGTACTGCCAAATTTATCTTCAATTCAATGTGGATTAAATTATAAGAAGTAAAAATGTTTTCTTGGCTTTCAACTCATCGTCCCTTGAAAAATTGTCTCTTCTGTTGGTTTGCATTCAAGGTAAAAATTAGTCAGCCTGGACAATATAGTGAAAAATTCTTAGAATAAGGATGCAGTATTTCTGGAGAGGAATAGTTTGGCAAATCTCAAGGAAAAAATTGTTTAATATGAGATTATTGCTTTAAATCTGAAAATTATTAACAGCACTCATTTGTTCTTGTCATTGGAGAAAAATCTTAAGGGGCTTATTGAAGAATTTGGTGTGGGAAGTTTTGCTTTGCTGGAGAGAGAATAGAATGTTGTGCAAAAATAAAAATAATAGTTGTATGAAACGTAAATATTCTTTCGTGTGCATATCCTAGCCTCATTTCTACTTTATTCAGGTAGTTTGGGGAAAAAGCAGTAGCTTAACAAGCTTAGGATGCTTTCTGGGAAAGAAAGCATATTTTAAAAACAACAGAAATAAATAATTATTGTAGTTCTTTTTATTGCTTTTGATCAAGTAGGAGTAAAGAAGTTTCTGTAAAATCTCCTGCTTTCTGTAGTACATGCGTACGTTGTTTTGATGTGTCTAGGTGTGACTCCTCTCACTCTTGTAGGAGACTCCCTCCCCCCCACACACACACTTTAATTTTTGATTTGTTAGATATTCATAATTGGCCTTTTTTTTTTTTGAGAAAAGAAAAGCTGTCCTTATAATCTTCTGTAATATAGGGTCCCCTCCATTCTTGATTCTGGAAAGCACCATTTTATTTCCACTTTGATGTTTCATTCATCTTTCTCTCCCTTGGCAGAGTGTAAGCCCTTATCTCTTGGTTCAAGGCTTTATCCTTAGCATCTAGAACAAAAGTAGGCACTTATGATTTATTGGTTGAATTAATTAATGATCCCTTTCTGGTTCTTCTCATTGCTCCAGTAACTTTATTGTTTTAAATACAATAGATTTATTAATGAGGCAGTTTTGTATACATCAGCTTCCTACCCATCCCAGTTTTCTTTTGGTATATGAGCTGGCCAACAAGTATCTGGTCAGCAGTGTGGTTGCTGCCACAAAACGGACTTTGTCCCTGCCCTTATGGAACTTAACATCTCTTTAATACCAGAGGCTCAGATTGACATCATTACCTTGTGAATAATCTCTTCTCTCTCCTGTGTCGTGGAAGTAGTACATTTCATTGCCAGGCCTTGTTAAGTGGTGTCCTCATCACACTGAATGAAATGTTTAAAGAAAGCATGCCTAAACGATCTTCTGATTTTATCTGATCCTCTTTTATTTTTCAGTAGTTTTAACCTACCTTGATCTCTTAGTAGGATACAGTTCTTTATTTTACTGTATTTTTTTATTTTTTTAAGATTTTATTTGTTTATTTATTTGACAGAGAGAAAGAGAGAAAGCACACTTGTGCACAAGCAGGGGGAGCCCCAGAGGGAGAGGGAGAAGCAGGCTCCCCACTGAGCAGGGAGCCCGATGTGGGACTCAGTCCCAGGACCCTGGGATCGTGACCTGAGTTGAAGGCAGACGCCTAGCCAACTGAGCCATCCAGGCATCCCTATTTTACTTTAGTTTTAGAAATTTCTACTAACCTGTGTACAGATACTTTTCAAAAATACTAAGTTTTTATCCACATTTTTATTCAGATAATTTTGACAAAATCCAAAGCTGTCTGCAGCTCCGTGGAAATTAATGAGTTTTCCTCTTCTCCTTTAGGTAGAGTTTTACTTGCTTAAACATATAAAAGGCTCCGACACTGGGTCTCACAAATGTCTAGTGGTCAAAAAATATCACTGGCTTTTGATATTTTAAGACTTTTATTCCCTTTTCCTTTCTTTGGTTTGATTTGTAGATAATATACACCATGGAGTACTTTACCTTCTTCTTCTCACTAGATTATATATTGTATTCTAAAACAGCAATAAAGCATGTTCAGTCACTTTCTTTTGAATCCCGAGAATGAGCTCTGACCAAATGGCAGCTAGCCCTAGCTTTTTCTTTAGCCAGAATTACATCTGCATTTTCCATTACCTCACTTATATCCTTTTTGCCCTCATTCTTTTTTATATATCTAAAATTCCTCGAACATTCTTTAATGGTAATTTTCTGAAGTTTACTGTAGATCACTTGAGGACTTGTGATATAAAAAGGCTGAGGCTAGGGTTGCATTAATTTCTTTACCCTATTCATAGTCTTTCTTTAAGAGCTTTTACCTTAAAAATAAATAATGTGTAGCAACTAGACGGATCTGCATTTTAATCATAAACAGAGTCAGACTCCCCCGCCCCCCCGTTCCAGCAGCTTTGCCAGTGGCATTTCTGCTTGTTGATGTTTCAGTAAAAACATTTTGTAATTTTTTGAGCAAACCTAACAGGAAAAGAATAATAAAAATCTTAGTAACTGACATTTATTCAGCACTTAATCCTGTATGCCCAACTCTGTTTTACATAAATTATCTAATTCTTAACAATTTTATAAGGTAAGTGATACTATTATTATTCGTATTTTAATAGTGAAGAAACTGAGACAAGGGAGGTTAAATTGACTTGCTATAAAGATATGGATTATAACTGTTTCATTTATAGTTCAAAGAAAGCATTAAGGAATAATATTAATATTTTGGGAATCTGTATTGAAATTAAAATTTTGAGTTCATTTGTCAGTCTTTCCTATAATTATCTATAGAATTACAGCTTAATAACTGTTACTTCCACTGATAAAATTGAAAAGTGAACTTGTTTTTAATGGCTTTAGGGAAGGAGGAGGAGCGGACTTGGGCGTTGTAAGTGGAATCATGCTTTTCTAACTTGGTTATCTTTCATAGACACTAAAAAGACTATAATTGTGTTAGGGTATAATCTTTAACTTATTAAGTATATAAAAATCATATTAGTACAGGTTTATAAGTAATTTTGAACATTTTCATAATTTCAGAAGTTTTTATACACTTAATATGTTATTACCAGTAGGAGTCCTAAGAAATATAACACTAGAAGAATTAGCATTCTCATATCATGACTCAATAGAGTCAAGTGAGCACTAGACTGAAAATTTGCTTGTTATACTCTACCAGGCTTGGAGCCTGAGGATAAGTTTATTTGTAGATACCTACTGAATTTCAAGGCATTGTCTAATACTGGCATTATTCAAAATCTTAAGTTTTTTTAAAGTCTGTGTCAGAGATGCCAAGTTTCCTAGACATTGATGGTATCTCCCGAATAGAGTCTAAATCATTCTTAGGATAAGTTTCATTTCATTTATTAAAAATAACTGAATCCTTTTGTAACCCAGCTCCAAGGTTATATTTCAGTCTTATTGAAGGTAGGACAACCATGGCTTTATTCCTAGGTAACCTGTGTCCACAAGTGACCTATTTAGTCTCTCAGAAGATCCTCATTTGGCTGAAATTCCTACCATGAATATCCTCACCTTAATTTTCTTTATTTTGTCTTATGATCCGGTTTCTTAGGGCTGTTAGGTTTGCAAATGAAGATCATAGATCAAAGTAATTTTATGTCTGAAAACTTGGGTAGTATTTCTTTTTAACACATTTATTGATCACCTACTCTATGCAAGGCACCACGGTAAGTGTGGCAGAAAGTATATAGATGAATAGTAATAATCTGATAGCCAGAGTCTACAGAGTCCTTACTTATGTCAAGGATCATTATTCTAAATGTTTTACCACATGTATTTATTTACATAAATTTTCATTTGATTTTCATAGTAACCACATGAGCTAGGTACTGTTTGTATCCTCATTTTATAGGTAAGAAAACAGAGTATAAAGACCACCCCAGGTAACACAGCTAGTAAATTGGTAGAGTTAGGCCACAGACCCAAGCAGTGCTGACTTTAGAACCTACCCTTAGCCATCATATAATTCTGCTGCTTGTTCCCTGCTCTCTAGGAACTCCCAGAACAGAGCTATATCGTGTCTGTAAAGGAGAACAGAGTGGGCCCAGTGGCCAGGACAGTTTAGCATTCAGCCCAGTTTTCTAGTTTGTATGTGGACTTTCACATCATTCTAGTTTTAATAATATAATATTCCTTTTCTGTGAAAATTCTGTAAGACTTGCCTTTGATAGGGTTTTGGATGTTTAAGTGAAATGCTGTAGTTCTGTCAATAAATGGAATGCCCTAGGAAAATTTTATTCAGTCAAGATTTGATAAAACAACTAGATGCCTAATTTATCCCAGAAATCTTTTTTTTTTTAATAAGGTTTTTAAGATTTGTTTATTTTAGAGAGGGGGAGAGCATGAGCAGAGGAGAGGGGCAGAGAGAGAGGGAAAAGCAGGCTCCCGGCTGAGCAGGGAGCCCAATGCGGGACTCAGTGCCAGGACCCTGGGATCATGACTTGAGCGAAAGGCAGATGCTGAACTGACTAAGCCACCTGGGTGCCCCATCCCAGAAATCTTACACCAGATTTTTTGTTGTTGTTGTTCTGGGGGTGGTAGGAGGGACTTCAAAACCATTTGAAGATGACCATAAGTAAAACAAAGAATAATAATACTATAAGGTTTTGATGTTCTCTTTCCTTCTTTCACCAGAATTTTAATTTTAACATGTGACAGGAAAAACATTGGTTATGTTGGTAGGCGTGAGTTGTTCAAATGGTCATCTTCAGCTCTGATTGGGTTTTTCTTTTTGCTTGAAGCAAAAGTCGTGAGATCTCTCTAAAATTTTAGTTCGCGAATGAATTAAGGGAAGGTCATCTGTAACCAGTGAACATGTTTCTGGAAGGAAATTGTTCCAGAAGGTTGGTAATAAAGTTGTTAGATCCAAAGGTGAGTAAATGACACACACACCATAAGATGGAATAAGCAAATTGGACCAGCCAAACCCCTGTGGATTCTGCTCTGAAGCTATTGAATCTCAGTTCCTTGAAATTGTACTAGTCCCACCCGTCAGTATGTGGTAATGCTTGTAAAGCTCTCCAAGCTTTCTGACTTTTGAATAGCAGATTTGGGGGTAGGGTGAGCAGAGAATTAATAAACTTAGTTGTAATTCAGATCTGAAAATCTTTGGCTTACTAAGTTTTTGTAATATCAGTATTTTGCTGATACAACAAAACATGCATTTCAGGAAATTTTGATGTCCAACAAATCATATGAAGATGATATTGAAAAAATGACTTGTATATTTCTATTTTCGTAAATTGACTTTAAATATTGCAGACACTATTTTTGTTTTAAAATATGTATTTTAATACCATGGGTCACTTAATCCTTTTGGGAAATCGGCATAAAATATGTTGTCAGGAATTCAGATCTAATCATTTTATGTGAAAGGCACAAACTCAATTTGAAATAACTTTTATTCAATGCAAAATATATTTTCTTTTGGCAAAACTAGAATTTTCTCTAATTTCCTGTCTATATTTTTATAAATAAAATGTGTTACTTGGCTTGAAATCTTAAAATTATTTTTCTATTGGAAGTTAGAGCAATCTCAAAGTTTTTAAATAAGTTGTTCTTGAACATGTATTCAGTTTTGATTTAAAATAAAGCTAAGGTTTGTTATACATTGTGGCAAATATTTACATTTTATAAAACAAACTTTGCCTGTATTTAATCAATATAGTTTTTAAAATAACTGGGGTTATGGGTACTAATAACCTTCTGCAGTACATTGAGGAAGATGAAACTACATTTATAAATCCCCCTTTACAGTTATGGTAACATTCGTTTTAAAAAATATATCTGTAGCAATGAGTTGTGCAAAACAATATACATGTAACATTTACATTTTTAGGAACTGAAAAATACAGAGTTCTATGTCATTTAAGCTGGAGACTGTCTCTCTTTCAGTCAATAGGCTTGATCATCATCTGAACTGCTCTCAAGGAGTATGACCCGCCTCGATATTCAGCCCAAAAAATTCCATCTTGGTACTTGCTTCTGTAATGGCCTCCTCTGTACCATACTCCATTTAGGTTAGAATGTGCACAGGCGTTGTACCACCATCCTCCTTTATGAAAGTGGGCACAGTTTCCTTTGAGGAAAAAAATAGAGATATCAAAGTAAAGCGTTCTTCTAAGTGTGGTACTCTGCAAACCATCAAAAACTTATGCTACCTTTGGAACGATTTGAGTTTTTCTTATTGGTTTCAGTTACTTCTTTTATCAGTTACTACTTTTATCAGTTACTACTTTTATTCAGTTACTACTTTTATCTTTGTGGATTTGTTTCTTCATTCATTCTGTTACTGTTCCTGAAGTATCAACTACTTGAAATATCACTTGAATTGCCTTTATCCTACCCTTTGCTTGTTTACTACATGCTTTTTTTTTATTAAGTGATTTAATTTTCTGGGTAGCAGGGTAAATAAAACACAAATGGCATTTGTGAGAAAGAGGGAGAGATTGGAGAGATTGGGAAGGAAAGATACAGAGTTGCTAAAAGTAAATTTGGGAAAATTAAATTCTTAAAATAGCACAAAATAATATAAAATAGAATAGCACTCAGGTGGTCAAATTGTTTCTGTAAATATGGTGAATACTTTGGTTATATCTCTTCCTTTGTTCCTCTTTTGCCATTGTGAGATAGGTTAACGTAGAGACCTGTGTGCTCCTGGCCAGGATACAGCTGAACAGAAAAATAGATCGGTTTTCAGGAGGGATATCTCTTGATCAGGGCCACAAACCTGGGTTAAAAAGACAAAAGCAGGGCTTCTAGGTGGCTCAGTCGGTTAAGCGTCTGCCTTTGGCTCAGATCTTGATCCCAGCGTCCTGGGATGGGGTCCTGCATCTGGCCCCTTGCTCAGTGGGAAGCCTGCTTCTCCTCCCCCTCTACCTGTGGCTTCCCCTGCTTGTGCGCTCTCTCTCTCTCTGACAAATAAATAAAATGTTTTTTTTTAAAAAAGGTAAAAGTATATGAAAATTATTGTTGAGGCTTTTTTTAAGATTTTATTTATTAGAGAGAGACTGCATGCACACGAGCAGGAGGGGAAGCAGGCTCCCTACAGGGGGCTCTATCCCAGGACCCCGGGATCATGACCTGAGCTGAAGGCAGATGCTTAACGACTGAGCCACCCAGGCGCCCCAACGTTAAAGAGTTATTATATCTGGATTGCCTAACTGATTTTAAAGAGGATATTAATTTCTCCTCTGAATAAAGCTTTTTTGCTCTTCCTACCATATATTCCAGTCCTACTGTTCCTTCTCATGTGGGTACTAAGAAATGCCTTTTTCAAAGCCATGTCCCCAAATGTCTGGCCTCCTTCACTCCCTTCAGGTCTTTATTCAAATGTTACCTTCTCAAAGTAACCTTTCTCAGCCACTCTGTATAAAATAGCACCCATCTAACCCCCAGCTGCTCATCACTCATTTTTTCCCTCACTGGTTTTATTTTTATTAGAGTACTTGTCACCACCTGACAAATCATTTTGTCTCCTAGAGAGTAAGCTCTAGAAGGGCAGGAACTTTTTCCGTTGGTGTATACTTAGCACCTACAACAGTGCCTGGCACGTGGTAGGTGTTTAGTTAGTAGTTGTTATGAATTTTAGGCATTAGAGAATTTTCTTGCCAGGTGAATGAGCTTTTGCTTTGTTCCCCACCCCCAGGTTAGAATGATAGAACTTTGCTTTTCACAGAGTTCATTCACACTTTGGGTTTGCCTTATAGAAGAGATACTGACCTTTCAGCAGCTTATGTAATCTATGACTGAGTCCAAAATTACCTTTATGGAAAGATTTTTAGTAGCATATCCTTTAATAGCAAGGCTCTCTGTAATGCATAGCAGTGGTTCTACAAAGAATGCACATCAGTTTTTTCTTACTCACCTGCATACATATCTTTATCTCTGTCCAGTGTGGTGAACTGTTTACCATTATGCCACATCATGGAGTCCCCTGCATTTCCCTGGTAAGTTCCCAGACGCAGTCTAAAGAATTCACTTTCAGGTTCCAGGCGAAAGCTGCTATATTCTGCGTAGACTTTTTTGTCACTCCAGTCTTCTAATTCAATCAACAACTTATAATTATCTTGATTGCTAAGCATATAGATATTTTCCAGTCCAAGCCAATATTCTCCATCAATGTTTCCAAACCCTTTCTGTTAATAGACAGCATGAGGGCATAAATAAGTGTAGAGATAGTAAACTTTTTTACAGATAAGTTTTAAATCTTTGATAACATAACTATTCACCATTTAGGTGGTAATATGAACTTCCCTTTTAATAGGTCACCTGATCTTTATAAGCCCCACATAGTCACTTTGTTTTGTTTTGCTTTCTCTTAGTTTGTCTGTGTTTATTTGCACAGCTAGCTTCAAACTTTATGGATAAGAAAAAGGCAAAAGAAAATGAAAATTATATTCCTAGCTACTAAAAACATTAACTAGTGAACTACCCAAATCCCTGAAGAAGATTCCTGATCTCTCTCATACACAAAGAGCCAAATTTTTTTTTCTGAAAGTATATATGTAACTGTCCCCCACCCCGATAGTCAAACAAAAAGGGTAGCTAACATTATTATGATCACTCAATAAAAATGATAGTATTCTGTTGTTAAAACAAATTGTCTTCTTTAGCTCTGTTATAATTAAATATGAGAAGATATAACAGTAATCTTCAGAGTTCCGCCTTGGAAAAATTGCAGACTGTTTTTAAAACAATCAGTGAGCTCTCCTATTTCAGTAAGCATTCACCACAGCAGGTGTGCAGCACAATATAAGGCTTGGTAAACCTGATCTTAACACTGTGTTTTCAAGAAGCTTGTGTTGTAGGACTGTTTTCCCCTAGTTACTTGTTTAGAAATTTATAACTTTTGACATGGATGTATTAATGCCTCATTTTTAACTGCCAGTAAAATGTCACCTAAAAGTGAGTAATCACGCAACTTAAACAATTTTGAATGAAGAATTGACCGTCTAGAAAATACAGTCTCCCCCATCTGCCATACCTAAACTACCACTCATAAAATTAGCATGTAAACATCAAAATTATTAACAAAAACTAGTTGCTTACTTTTCCAACATTACTACAGCATGGCTCTGGTCCTGTATGACAGTCCAGGTGTACGTTACCTCCCAGAAGCACCAGTGTCTGGTGTTAGCAGTTTAAAACACGAGGGGATGATTATCAGAGGTAATCAGTCCTAGAGAAAGGGTCATTTTTTGAAGTTCTATAGTTCATAGTATTGCTTAAATACAGTTGCTGATGGGTACAAACATGGTCATAAACAAAAAAGCAGCTTCTTAGAAAATGGAATCAGCAGTAGTCTTTGCTAAGAATTAAATATATGTAAAAGTCATCCAGACTGAAAAGGGGCAGTTTAAAGGATATCTTCGGTTTCCCTTTTACCTTTTAATTTTGACCTTAAAACCGGAGATGAGAATTACCTTTTTGACAAAGGTAGATAATGAAAAATATATGGGTAATTATTTTTAAACTGTGTTATTTATTGCACGGAATGGCTACTCTGCAAGAGCTGTATGTTCCACCTCTGAGGTCTCAATCACTGATTTACCTTATAATTTTCCCAATTTCTGAAGAAGTTGACAGAGCCATCTGTTCTTTTCTGAATAACAGTCCAACCCCCAGGATCCAAACTGTTCTCACACCATAACTGTATTGGTCCATTGCTGTTTTCAGGTTTAATCATATAAATCCCACTGACTGAATGTCCAGCTTCTTTTGCATGCTGACAGTCTTTGAATGGTCCTATAATTAAAATATCATTGATTACCAGGAAACTTAATAGGAACAGAGCCATATTAAAATAGTTTTTAATCAAAAGTCTTACCTTTGTATCTTTCTTTACAGATACCACTTTTTATCTATTATATACACCACACCATAAAAGTTAAACTAAATAAAAGGATTACCCCAGTCCCACTATATGGAAAATTAACTTGTTTCATTTTCCACTCTTCTTGTGAGTTTTTGTCCATATACATACATTTTTATGTTGTCATAATTCTGACACACCTAGAAAATTGGATTCTGTCTTTTAACAGAAATTTCCGTGAACTACAGTCTTCATTCTGGCACTTTTAGTAGCTGTAATCTAAATTTTTAACATTGAGGGGCGCCTGGGTAGCTCAGTCGTTAAGTGTCTGCCTTCGGTTCAGGTCGTGATCCCAGGATCCTGGGATCGAGCCCTGCATCGGGCTCCCTGCTCCGCAGGAAGCCTGCTTCTCCCTCTGCCACTCCCCCTGCTTGTATTCCCTCTCTCGCTGCTTCTCTCTAGCAAGTAAATAAATTTTTAACATTGATACATCACTGTTTATTCCTTTGTCATTGGATATTGAGGTCTCATCTGATTTTTACTATTATAAAAGTACACAAAGTGTTGTCTTACTGGCTTCAGGTTTTCAAATAATTAACTTATAAAAATGCTGTGGGATTGATCTACTGGATCAAGAGGGCATGAACACTTTTAATAGCTCTTCATAGTGCCCAGTGTACAGTTTCCAAAATTTGATTTCAGTGGAACACACTAATCCCTTGAGGTACTTAGTGAAAACGGCCTACCATGGTCAAATAAGTTTTATTATTGCTAAGTATTATATTACCCTTTTGGAAACCCACAGTGTACATGCACGTATGAAAGATTAAGAAGCCCTGAAACAAACCAGAGTTCCCCAAACTTATAGAATCTGTTAGCTTTTTCCCCCATTCAGCAGTCCATAAGAATACATTTCAGGAATGTTGGCAAAATGCCTTTCTAAAGAGTTGTATCAATTTATATGACTAATAGTAATTTTCTTATTTAGTCTACACAATGACCCTGTGATAGTTTACAGATGTTCTATAGATGAAACAGTTAACTAGTCTAAGGTCCTTTATCTTAGAAGGTAATAAACCCTAGACTTAAATCCATTTCTTTCTAATCCCAGGGTCCATGCTCTGAGCTGCTGGCTACATTTGCTCTTAGGTTGTTTTCACAGTTTTATGGATTCCCTCCCTATTTTTTAATACACGAGTAAGTTCTTCATATCTTTTAAAATGATAAAACATTTTGTGAAATCTTTTGTAGAGGATCTGACCCTTGAACTTGTGATTTCCACATTTTTTGGATCTAAAGAAAGATCGCTTCTAAGTTTTACTGAACATTCTTTAGTTGCACCATTCTTCAGTGTTTTGATCCTTTAGTTTTTTATAAGCATGTGAAAGTATTAAGTGATTCAGAAATAAGAATTATCCCACAGATCTTTTAGAACAACAAAAAAAGTGTAGAAATTCCAGTTGTCAAATTTTATATTTTACTAGAAATATTTAAATTTTGACATGTGCAACTTTTAGAATTAGGTGAAAATAGAGTTTAGTCAAGTAAAGCTCATTCAAGAAAATCCTCACTATATTGATAATAAGACTGATGAAATTTTGAGAAATATGTTATCTATACTGTGCCAATATATACAGGATCCCTTTTGGGCTAATTGGGGAAGGATTCATCTCATTAAATAAATAGTTATACAATTGCATCATTAGAAGGGGGTCTTAGAGACTGAACTCTTCCCTCTAGATTGCTCCTTGAGGATGGAGACGACTTTTGTTTTTCTTCTGACTTCACATTATCAGTGTTTTAACTATTAGCGGGCCGTCGGTCATTTTTTTTAATTTAAATTTAATTAATTAACATATAGTGTATTGTTTCAGGGGTACAGGTCTGTGATTCATCAGTCTTACACAACACCCCAGTGTCCATCACCCAGCCACCCCATCCCCCCCACCCCCCCTCCCCTCCAGCAACGCTCAATCTTGCTTCCTAAGATTACTAGTCTCTCATGGTCTGTCTCCCTCTCTGGTTTTGTGTTTTTTCATTTTGTCCTCTCTTCCCCTGTGTTCCTTTGCCTTGTTTCTTAAATTCCGCATATCAGTGAAATCATAAGATAATTGTCCTTCTCTGATTGACTAATTTTGCTTAGCATAATACCCTCTAGTTCCATCTACATCGTTGCAAATGGCAAGATTTCATTTTTTTTCTATCAGTCATTTTTTAAGTAAATGAATTAACTTGCCTTCACATTTTAAATACAAGGAAATTGAAAACCACACAGAAAATCAAGAGATGATCTATTTCTCTAGCCCACATTTTAATGTTTTGTTGATATTTCTCTGTTTCAGACTTTTTAAAATTATAATACAATGACTAAACACTACACAATAGTAAAAAATTTGAGAAACTGTAAAGACTTAATGCTCTCTTTCTTGGGTCACATTTATTTTAGGTATTGAATTTTTTAGTTCTAGAGTTTCAATTTGATTTTTTTTTTTTTTTTTTTTTTAAAGTAGACTCCATGCCCAACACAGGG